TCTCCGCTCCCTGCACTCATCTCTAACTTAGCTTGTCAGGGACCCTCAATTTGGGCAAAAGGTGCGCAAAGATAAGTTGTCCATGTACATCTTTCTTAGCTTGGACTTTCCGGAAGTGAAAATTATCTCTTCAAAGTTGGTGGGCTCTAGTCCGGTAAACGCTTCCTTTATGACAGGCGGAGTCTCAGCCAGGGTTTCTGCTGTGATGAAACACAAAAGTCAGAAGCAACCCAGAGAGGAAAGGGTTTATTCCAGGTTCCAGTGCAGGTAATAAACAGTGTCACCAAGGGAAGCCAGGGCAGGAACTCATGCGAAGCAGGAACCCGGAGGCAAGAACTGATGCGGAAGCCATAGAGGAGGACTGCTTACTGGAGCACTCAGCCTGTTTTCTTATAGCGCCAGGACCACCAGCCCAGATGTGGCAACATCCTGGACAGGCTAGACTCTCCCGCAACCATCACGAATTAACTATGGGCGGATCTTAGTGGGATATGTTCTCAGCTGGGAGTCCCCTTTTCCAAGTGACTCTACCTTGTGTCAAGCAGACATAGCACTAACCAGCACAGAGTGCAGATATAAATCTGTTCAAATGACTGGATCAGTGAGTACCGTCTGCTTATCACATGATCTGAGAGAAAAGTATGCACAGAAGATAAATCAAGAAGAGTAAACATCCCTCTCAATTTAGAGGGCTTCCTATGACACTTCGTCATTGATATTCCAAAATCCAAGATCCATAGCATGAACATAAACAAAACCAAAGATAGGTGGCAGATCTCGGTGAGTTTGAGGCCAACCTGGTCTATAGAACAAGTTCCAGAACATCAAGGGTTACACAGGGAAACCCTGTCTCAAACAACCAAGTTTCAGGCTAGCAGAGTTACGATAATGAGGCCCCGTGTTAAAAACAAACAAATGGGGCTGGAGAGATGGCTCAGTGGTTAAGAGCACTGACTGCTCTTCCAGAGGTCCTGAGTTCAATTCCCAGCAACCATATGGTGGCTCACAACCATCTGTAATTCTATCGAGTTCCCTCTTCTGGCCTGCAGACAGAACACTGTATACATGATAAATAAATAAATAAATAGCAAAATACAAATGTACAATGTCAAAGACAGGATTGGCTGCTACCTTCCCACATGACACTCCCCCGTATTGGAAAAGTATCTGGAAACTTGTAAATGCCCCAGCTTTTTACAAGCCAAAGCAGCTGGCCTTTCTCTCGGGCAGGCCTCAAGTGCTATCTTTATCCTTGGATGTGAGACTGAGTATATATTCCAATGGGAAAAGGTTCAAAGGTGATAAAACTCAACCCTGGCCTTGGGTATGGTGACACACACCTGTAATCCCCAGCACTGGAGAAGCCCAGGCAGCTGCATCGCTACAGAGTTCCTGGCCAGCAGGGCTACATAGTGATTGGTACCCTATTTTAAAGAAAGAACCAGCCAGTGATGCCCCACACCTTTGATCCCAGCACTCAGGAGGCAGAGACGAGTGGATCTCTGAGTGTGAGGCCAGCCTGGTCTACAGAGTGCGTTGGAACAGCAAAGGCTACACAGAGAAACCCTGTCTCAGGAAAAAAAAAAACAGAAACAATAACATAAATAAATAAGTAACTAAGAAACAAACATTCGTTGGTCCTAAGGCAAGCACTTGGAAGTACACATATATAAAGTTGTGGTATCTGTGTAATTAGGATCATGAGTGTGAGAAATTTTACAGATAGCCACAATGTCTAAGAATCAAGATAATAAAATATTACTGGTCTAGAGGCCAATATCTGTCATCAAACTCAGTATTATTTTGGAGACTTTAATTTGCTAGAGGACAAATTTTTAAAAGAACAGATCAAATTGGAGGAAGGATGGGTACCTTTGGAATTAATGCTAAAATTAAGGGGCGAGACCACCTGGTCTAAGACTTTAATTGTGCAAGTGTTAATCTCACTGATGAAGAATAAGACCACAACTGTTTAAAGCCAAATTTGAAGCAAACTTTAATTAAATACTGGCCAGGTGGCTGGACTCTGGCCAGGTCCATACCCAGGTTCCTGGAAAATGACCCTGAGTCATGGTTTGAAGAAGGAAAACCATTTCCCATCAGGTCCTCCAGTCACAGGCAAGCATACATCCTGACATACCTCCAGCCTACATCCAATCAGGGGCAGGTGTATATACTGATATATTTCCTGCCTACATACCTCCCACCCACATGTGACCAAGCATCCAGTGCAGATGGGTCAAACAAACTTGTTTAGGGGAGTGAGAACACATGGCCTATTATCCGCCATAGTCAAAAGCCTCCAGCATCAGGAGCTCTCGGTCCTTGGGTGAGGGGTTTGCAGAGCAGAGGCATTTTTGTTTCGTGGATCTCTAGGGCACAATAATTAAAACTTAAAACCAACTTCGGTTCTCACACAAGCACTGAGACAAAACTCACGGAGGTCAGGGCAAACAGCTAAAATCAAGGTCTCTGGGCAGACCCTCCCTGACGAGACTGATCAGTATAAAAGAGGGGTGCAGCTGGGTGGTGGTGGTGCATGCACTCAGGAGGCAGAAGCAGGTGGAGATCTGTGAGATCGAGGCCAGCCTGGTCTACAGAGTGAGTTCTAGGACAGGCTCCAGGAAACCCTGTCTCGAAAACCAAAACAAAACAGAAAGTGATGTATAAAAAGCATGTTTACATTAAACACTTCCCAGCTGATGCAGCCCTGATGACATAAAGAACAGCTAGATGATAAACATTCAGTTGAGAGCAACTTTTCTCAAAGTAGGGAAGAGATCAATATTTGCTGGGACCTCTAGTCCCAGCCCTTGGGGAAGCAGAGGCAGGAGGATCTCTGTGAGTTCAAACAGTCGAGTCTACATAGAGCAGTGGTTATCAGCCCTCCTTTAATACAGCTCCTAATACTGTGGTGACTGCCAACCATAATATTATCATTGCTACTTCATGATAGTAGTTTTGCTGTTACGAATCATAATGCAAACATCTGTGTTTTCTGATGGTCTTAGAGGACCCCTGTGAAAGGGTCATTCAACACCCAAAAGGGTCGTGACGCACATGTTGAGAACCTCTGACATAGAGCATCCAGGACAGCCAAGGCTACATAAAGAAACCCTGTCTCAAAAATGAAATAAAATAAATTTCTGTGTCTGATGGCATCCAAGCTGCAAAGAACTTTTAGAGACCCCTGGAGAGAAGCACAAAGACACAAACCTAACAGTACTTGAGAAAGAAAGTGAGGGCAAGCTCAGGTAAACTGAACAAGGCCATGTCTCCTGAAGGAAAGCTGGGGCGGGGGTAGGGGGGGCTTCTGACATTTGCTGTGACACACAGAGATTTACACAGCCCTCTCAGATCACAGGGAAATGACAAGGGCTGGCTTTGCCAGAGGAGCAGAGGGAACAAGGCTTGTTAAAGAAAGGCTTAAGGGGCCCTAGGCAAAGGCAGAAGTGAAAACAAGGAACAAGGATGTGCAAAGTGCTAGACGGACATGCGGGAAGGAAACAATGAAAAAGAAAAAGAAACAAAACCCGAAAAACAAACCCACAAACAAAAACATAGAGCAGCAAGAACGCCAGAACAAAGGGAAAGCAAACGGTTGGAGATGTCAAGGAAACAGAAAGGCAAGCAGACCGGATTGGGCTGGGCCTAAAGGAAGAAGGTTGTTCCAGGGAAGCTGAGCAAGATGTGGTGGTGATGATCATGGTGGGGGACCAAGGAAATCAACAGGAGAAGAAAGAGACACAGAAGGGCCCGTGTTACGGCAAGAGACAGAGAATGGTGCCTGAGATCGTTCAGCAAGCTTTTATTCACCTTAGATTTTTCAGCTGCTTTTTTTTTTTCTTCAGAAGCGTTTATTTATTTATTTTGTTTTTCTGAGACAAGGTCTCTCTATGTAGCCCTAGCTGTCCCGTAGTTCCCTATGTGAACCAGCTGGCCTGGAACTCACAGAGATCCTCCTGCCTCTGCCTCCCTAGTGCTCCCACCATGCCTAGCCTCTTCAGGAGTATTTAAAACGAAACGCGAACTAGGTCCTACACTTCACCTGTATGAAAGGAAGCCTTGTTTCGTTTTAGCTGTCTTTTTTTCATTGCTTCCCAAATGAAAGGGTTTTTCAAAAGATGTACAGTGTTCAGACGACCCAAATATGAAAAGGAAGATTAATCTAATTCTTTGTAACATGAGGCTGTATTAATAGAAACTTGTAAAATATGTGTTATATAAAAATATCAAACAAAGGCCAGACATGGGAGTGCAAGCCTGTAATTCCAGCCCTTGGCTAACTGCATATTGGAGGTTGGCTTGGTCTACATAACAAATTCCAGGTCAGCCAGGAAGACAAGGGCTGGGAATGGAACTTAGTGGAATGCTTGTCTAGCATGCGTGAAGCCCTGGGTTTGTTCCCGCACCCCTGGGAGGTGGAGGATAGGGGCACAGACATTTAAGCACATCTTGTCTTACACAGGGAGCACGGGGAGTTTGCAGCCAGCTTGGTCAGGACCCTGACTTAAACAAGGGAGTGGAGAGAAGGGGAGAGGTGAGGAGGGGAGAAGAGGAGAGAGAAGGGAAGAGAGGAGAGGGAAAGAGAGAAAGGAGTAATGATCCAACTACGGAAGAGAGCCAGAGAGATAGAAACAGACTGGAGAGGTTCAGGAGAACACGCCAAGCGAGAGGGATAAACAGGAACCCAAGAAAGACAGGCAAGCGGGGCCAAAGGCGTGAGGGAAAGTGGGCTAATGGAAGGAGGGCAGATGTGGGCTTGGGCCAGCCCTTCGAGGGAGCATTGAGCTCCCTCTCCAGTGTGGTCATAACCTTTGGAATGAGGGTGTGAGTGGCTGCAAATTCCCATCTCCTGTCTCATTCTAACCTTATTGTAACACTGCTTTCTAAGCCTCTGGCCTGGCCTCCTCTCTCTCTCTCTCTCTCTCTCTCTCTCTCTCCCTCCCTCCCTCCCTCCCTCTCTCTCTCCCGCTTACTCTCCCTCATCTCATTGTTTCAGAATAGGCCAAATCTGAAGTCCTTCCAAGGGTGTGGCTGTGTTCATCTTATTTCCCCAGACCAAGCGGAACAGCGGGTAAGCGTGAGACGGACAGACAGATCCAGCAGCCAGAGGACACGGTGGACAGAGCGGAGCACTGTAGACAGTGAGTTGTTTCCAAACTATATAGAAGGAATGTCTGTGTGTGCCTGGCTGTGCATGTGTACACGAAAGGGTAAAGAATGTCCCTGACTGAGAACCGAGCCCTCTCCCAATTACGCATGGAATTCAAAAGAGAGGGTGCACCAAGAAGAGCAGATGATTCTTAAAAAGACACAGACAGGCCCACGGAGAGAAGATCAGCTGTTAGGAGCAGGGCCAAGTGTGGTTGAATCAGGATACAAAAGGTCCTCCTGATCACACGCCTTTATTCCCAGCTACTCAGTGGGTTGAGGAAGGAGGGGAGACCCCCTTATGACCAGGAGTTCTAAACCAGCCTGGACCTGGGAGGAGACTCACAATTAAAAACATTCTCTGTAGAAGAGTCGTGGCAGTGAGAATAAGAAGTGATCAAAGAAAAGATTTGAGGGAAATGAATGTTGGAAGGAAGATAAGCAAAGGTTTGGTCTGAAAAGAGAAAACGAGAGGGTTTGGAGGGTGGCAAAGGCAGAGGGTACATGGCATCTTTCCCTAGAGGCGAGACTCCGCCCTCTCTCACCAGCGTGCGTGTTCTTGCTCTCCTCTCCCTCCTTAGACATGCCATTCTTCGGGTCCAAGTCCTTGCTGCTTGTCATGGCTCTCACTATTCCCTCTGGTGAGTCCCTGTTCTGATTCTTTACTTACTAGCTCCTTAGCTGTACGTGTGCAAGGGGCTGGAGGTTAGACGGCAGGGGTCTGAGGCTGACGGGGGCCCGGGAAGAGATATGCTGTGTCAAAGACCAGCGTGCAGAGGGTGACGAGAGGTGACCTTAGACATGGGGTACCTAAGAAACTGATGTGAGGTTAAAAACCCTAGTGCTTGTTAATCACAAAAAAAGAGATGCGTATAAATGCATAACTCAACAGACACCAAAGGAACAAGAAGTTACACAACATCCAGAGACCACCTGAAAAATCCTTGAGGGAAAGCAGCAAAAAACACGCACATTTACACCTAACGCTCGCTCGCTTGGGCAGACACACAAGAATATTTACATACGTGAGGGAAGTCCCGCGACACCTACACACAAAAGAAAAGCACGCGTGCCATGGAATCCAGCTCAAGACTTTGCCACAGAAGGCAAACTTGGGCTTGGAAGGAAGGCTGCTGTATTCCCCCTCTCTGCCAGATGAAGGCTGACAGAGCAGTTCTTCCGCCCTGCCCGGTGTGCAGCTGATTCAGGAGCTGTGGGCCCAGGTGAGGCGCACTCAGAAGGCGGCTGGGTTCCTCTGTGGACCCTGTCCCTTCCTGATTGGGACTGAGGACAAGTGAGGAAACTGAGTCAGGGCAGAGCAAGAGCGGATTTTGTTCTCAAGAACTTGTCTTTCCGGAGGTTTTTTTTTTTCCTTTTCTTTTTTAAATGCTTCATTAATTTTATGTATAGCCTAGTGGTCTTGTGTCCAAATATACAGGGACAAATCCTGAAGATAAAATACAATTTTTCCGCTGAATTCTGGGTTGTCTTTGAAAAGCGTTGCGGAGGAGAGAGAGAGAGCTGGGGCCACTCACATCCCTTTTCTTTCTTTGTGACAGACTGGCTGCCCCTGGGGGTCAGTGGCCAACGAGGAGGTAGGTAAAGAGTTCTTCTGGGGTCAGTGGGATCCTTGTCGGGGTGATGTAGAACAGTGAGAGCTGAGGCTCTGCTCTAGGGCCAGGCAAACTGGAACAGCTGTAATCTCAGCATGATGTGGGAAGGTCATTTGTCAATCTGTCGTTTCTTTGGTTAATCAATAAAGAAAACTGCTTGATCTGATAGGCCAGCCGTTAGGTGGGAGGAATAGACAGAACAGAATGCTGGGAAGAAGGGAAGTTAGGCAGATGCCATGCTTCTCCTCTTCTGGGCCAGACACGATGGAGCTCCAGCCCAAGATGGACGTACACTAGAATCTTCCTGGTAAGACACCACCTCGTGGTGCTACACAGATTATTAGATATGGGTTAAAGCAAGATATGAGAGTTAGCCAGTAAGAGACTAGAGCTAATGGGCCAGGCAGTGTTTAAAAGAATACAGTTTGTGTGTTGTTATTTTGGGTGTAAAGCTAACCATGTGGGAGCTGGGCAGGATGAAAAGCAGGCCTGCCCGCTGCTCCTTCTACATCAGCACTCGGGGAGAGGAGGCAAGCAGACTGAGTTCAAGGCTGGCCAGGGATACATAATGAGACTCTCAGACCGGAATCTGTCCTAGGATAGCGAGCCTCACTTCAAGATATGGAAGGCAGGAGCACTAGTACCCACAATCCCATCATCCCATTCATAAAACCTCGTCTCCTTTTCTGCTCTCCCTAAAACGTCTGTCCATTGATGCCTTCGGTGCCAGCCTCCTCCTTCACTCTGTACATCTTTTACCTCGTTCAAGAAATCTCCAGGCAATCCTTACAGGAAGCATTACTATTGTTTTATTATCTGCAATCTTTTTTGTTTCTTGCTTTTTTTTTTTTTAACTTTTGGAGACAGGGTTTGTCTATGTAAGCCTGGCTGTCCTGGAACTCTCTCCATAGACCACACTGGCCTCAAACTCACAAAGATCTGCCTGCCTCTGCCTTCTGAGTGCTGGGATTAAAGGCATGCATCGCCATGCGTGGCTTGTTATCTTGAAAACTGGGCCCAGGTCTTTACATATTAAGCAAGAGTCTTACAAGCGAGCTACATCCCCGCACCTTTTTTCTTTCCTTACTGGCTGGGGATTCTGCTTTGTTTCTTTACTACTTTTGTGATGCTGTGGATAAAACCCAAAGCCACACAAAGGCTAAGATACTGCTGACCACTGGCCTGCACCCTCAGACTCCAGAAAGAGCTATGTAGGCTCATGAACAGCAGAAAATAAAAATGCAAAGACGTGGTAGGAAATTGGCTAAAACTTTTTCTAAACACTAGAGCTACGTACTGAGACCCTGACTTTCAAAAACAAACAGCCAGGTGGTGGTGGCACATACCTTTAATCCCAGCACTCGGGAGGCAGAGACAGATGAATCTCTGTGAGTTCGAGGCCAACCTGATCTACACGAGCTAGTTCCAGGACAGCTAGGACTGTAACACAGAGAAACCCTGTCTCAAAAAACAAAAAATAAAACAAACAACAACAAAATCAACCAACCAAACAAAAAACTTTCTAGAACAGGGAGACAGGGTTTTATTGGTAGTGCTTCTTTGTTTGGTTTGGTTTTGTTTTGTTTGTTTGTTTGTTTGCTTTTTTGAGACAGGGTTTCTCTGTGTAACAACCTTGGCTGTCCTAGAATTCACCATGTAGACCAGGCTATTCTCAAACTCACAGAGATCTGCCTACCTGCCTCTGCCTCCTTAGTGCTGGGATTGAAGTCATGTGCCACCACTCCTGGCTCAGGGGGACAGGGCTCTGGGGAACAGGTTTTTATTATGTATGCCATCTGTGTGTGAGTGTCACCATGCCTGGCTTGATGATCATTTTCTAAAGAAACTATTAATAAAATAGAGAAAACTGTTCTTAGAGGTTTAATCTGATTTACTTTCTGAAGTTTTGTGGAAATGAGCCAAAAAAAAAAAAAAAAAAAAAAAAAAAAGCCAAGGCAAACTACATGAATTTGCTGCCCTCTAGTGGCAAAAAGTGGATTATGACAATAGCCCACAGTCGAAGGTGGAATATTTGCTGGGTATAGTGTTTAAATATTATTACCCCCATGTGAGGAGATAAATATATTAATGTGACTACTTTGTCGCAATAATTATTTCCCTTTGTATGTATGTATCAAAACATCATGTTGTACACCTTAAACTTGTATAACGAAAATATACACGTTTTGCTAGGCAGTGGTGGCACATGCCTTTAATCCCAGCACTCTGGAGACAGATGCAGGAGAATCTCTGTAGTCAAAGCCAGCCAGGTCTACACAGAGAAACCCTATCTTGAAACTCCCCCTGCCCCCAACAAAAAATACAGTGTTTGAGCCAGACACATTAGAATATACATATTAGCACATTAGAAGCTATGCTTAGCGTATGTAAGGCTCTAGGCTACTCTATACACACACACACACACACACACACACACACACGTACATACATACATACACAAATTGCAGTATCAGCCGAGCCTGAGTAAATTCACACCTATAATCCCAGCATGTGATAGTCTAAGATGGAAGGATTTTGAGTTCCAAGTGTGCCTGGGATACAAGCATGACCATCATTCAAAATAAAGAGATAATCATGCCCTGAAGTATCTATATAAAGTGAGAATATTAATGGCCACATTGGTAGTGTGGTTCACAAAATTCTTAAAGCCCTGAGTTTGATCCCCACACACACCACAAAACCAGGCATGAAGGGGAACACGTTTATTATTGCAACACTTGGGAGTCAGAGACTTAAGGATTGGGAGTTCAAGGTCATTCTCAGCTACACAGTGAGCTGCGCCTGGACTACCTGAGACTCTACCTCAAAAGAAAAGGGAAGCGGTTGCGGGGAGGAGGCAGAAATCATAAATAAATAAATAAATAAATAAATAAATAAATATTAAAAAAAGAAAAAAGAAAAAAGTGGTTATCAATTATTTGGTCATTTAGAGATAATTTCTTTTAATTTTTAACTTATTTATTTTTAATTTTACTTTATTTACCTGCTTATTTGTGAACAAACCATTCTATTCAGAGATTTGAAGGGCATGCCAGGTTTGAAAAAAAAAGTTAACGAGGTCAACAGGATCCAATGCACCGGAGGTTGTGCCAGGCAGTTTCACTGACTGGAATCGCAAGAGTGGGATGCCCAGAAAAATCTCTTTTGTTTATTTTTTTCAGATGATGTGGCTGAGACATTCACAGAAGACCCTAGTAAGTCAGTCCGGATTGGGGTGTCTGCTTACCACCACTGGGGACAGAAAGGGCTGAGGGTGATGGTGACCCACTGAGAGATCACACAGCGGCCTTTTGTCCTCCTTAGTGGCCACCCTCACTCCAAGCATGCCAGCCTCAGTATCCCCTCCACTTCTCTCTGTCACTGTCGCTGCAGCTGGTTTGCCTGAGTCTCCTGCCTTCATTCCAATCCTTCTCTCTCGTCCAGCTAAACAGCCCCATACCCAGCTGCCCCTTCGCTCCCGTCACCTCCCGTCCCGTTTCTTGTCTCTGCAGATCTTGTGAATGACCCTTCTACAGATGAAACAGGTGATGCGTACTTCGGTTCTTATGGAACGGCATGGTCTTGTAATAGTCACAGTCTTCTTTCCAGCTCCTGAGTTGATCTTGTATTTTTAGCTCTGGAAAAGGGGGGGCCATGGGTGTGTTGTTCAGTGACTTGGCAGTGATACAAAAAGGGGGAGAAGCGTGCTAGTTTCCAGAGAGGAAGGAACAGGGCTGACAAGGTGGTTCAAGATGCAAAGGTGCTTGCTACTCAGCCTGAGGAGCTCAATTTGGCATTGCATTGCAAAGGGAGAGAACAAACACCCCAAAATTGTCCTCTGACCTCCACACACATGTGCTCTAACATGGACATCCACATCTGTGCACCTGTGGGCACACACATACACACATTAAACCAACAAATGTAAAGTTTTAAAAAGGAGGGGAACGATGTGTATCAATAGCTAAAAGAAGACCTGTAAGGGGCCAGACGGTGGTGGTGCATGCCTTTAATCCCAGCACTCAGAGGCAGAGGCAGGTGGATCTCTGCGAGTTCTAGGCCAGCCTAGCCTACAGAGCAAGTTCCAGGACAACCAGGGTTACACAGACTCTGTCTTGAAAAACAAAAACAAAACGAGACCTGTATGAGGCTGGAGAGATGACTGAAAAGTTGAGAGCACTGGTTGCTCTTCCAGAGGACCCAGGTTCAAGTCCCAGCCCCCACATGGCAGCTCACAACTGTCTGTAACTCTAGTTCCAGGGGATCTGACACCTTCACACTGACACCTTCACACAGACATATATTCAGGCAAAACACCAGGCACATTAGAAAAAAAGGGGGGGGGAGACCTGTATATTAAAGATATTCGAAGATAGGTATGTTCAAAAACATCCCCAATTACTTGATATAATTCCCTCCCCCTGACGTACACCTTGCCTTGCTCTGACGTCAGCGCGTTCCCTTGTCTCCTCCGCCCTCGCGATTCCAGGCCCTTCTCACACCTAATGTTTTGTACCTTTTCAGTTCTGGCTGATATCACACCTTCCACAGATGACCTGGGTGAGTTCGGATCTGGGATCCCAGGGCCACCAGGGCCACTCAGGGCCATCTGGGCTTTCCCCAGAGCCCGTACCCTACATCCTTCCAGCCCTTTGTGCTTAGTTAATGCTCGTTTGGAGCAAGCGGGAACTGTGCGGTTTAATATACAAAATACAGAGACGAAATCTCTCGGTGTTTCCGAGACTGGTGGGTAAGGGCAAGATAAGTGTGCAAACCCAGGCGAAAGGATAGAGTGGCACACGGAGGAAACCGGGCTCTTTGGAGAACAGGAAATAGGAAGAAAAGGAGGCAGGGCCTGGATTTCCTGCTGTTTGCTCTTAGGGCTGGAGCTGGGTGCCTTACATACTAAGCAAGTGCTCCACACTGAAAGGCACCCCTGACCCTAGGTTGGTTTGGGGTTTTTGTTTGTTTGTTTCTTTCTTTTTTGTGGTTTTTGCTTTTTTGTTTTGAGACAGGATCTCTCTCTGTTGCCCTGGCAGGCCTAGACATAGATCAGACTGGCTTCAGAAGCACAGAGATCTGTCTGCCTCTGCCCCCCGAATGCGGAGGTTGAAGGTGCAGGCCACCACACCCAAGTTCCTAGGTTATTGTTAACAAGCCAGCTGCTACGTCAGCGTCAAAGTGAACAAAAGAGAATTTCTTCTGTCGGGTACCTTTTGTCCAATAGACAACGAGATGTGCATTTACCCCGCTCCACAAACAGCTATCAGTGGGGTATGCAAAAGGACGCTGCGAGGGACTGGAAGTGGCCCTCACTAAGCTCAGTTTGGGGAGCAGGGAGGGGTTTTCTGCAGGGCTCCTGTTGATTGGATGGTTTTCTTGAAAGGCAGGGAGGAGAGCGAATCAGGTGAGTAGGCGGGACTCCCTCTTAGGGAAAGACCAGGGCTGCAGGGCGGGCTATGAAGGCCAGGGAAGGGTTTAATCAGTTTTATGCACTGGGAAGACCCTCGCTTTCACCGCTGCAGCCCACTGCTGCTCCCCATCTTGCAGGGCCAGGAAGGGAAAGGATTTAACCACAAGCTTCCTGGTACTCAGAAGCAGGAGTCCCAGTAAAGGCTGGGCCGAAGAAAGGCCGAGGGAGTGGGCGTGAAAGGTCGGCTGCACGGGAGTGGACCTGTGACAATAACGGCCTGTTCCCAGCCATGCTGGTGGTACCGGTCACCCGAAGAACAAAGCAAACCAGGGAGGGCGTGTTGAATTTGAAGAATCTCCAAAAAAGACCTTCCAGTTAGACCTGTGTATGCTGAACTTCAGAATCGGGAACTGAATGAGAAGCACAAGATTGGGAATTAGTCAGCCAGCACAGGGGTGTGTCCAAAAGCATGTAGAATGGGCTGGAGAGATGGCTCAGTGACCAAGAGTTCTTCCAGAGAGACCTGGTTCTGGTATCTCTAACTCCAATCCTATGGAATGCAGTGCTCTCTTCTGGCCTCTTCAGGCACTGCACACATGGGGTATACAGATACACATGCAGGCAGAGCACCCGTACACATAAGATAAAAACAAAGTTTAAATTTTTTCAAAGAAGAAAGAGAAAAAAGGAAGGGAAGGAGGGAGGGACGGAGGAAGGAAGGAAGGAAGGAAGGAAGGAAGGAAGGGTGCTGTAGATGAGATTTTCTAGCCTTTTCCTGCTCTTCTTCCCATCAAGAACTCTTCCAGAGACGTCCTCCCAGATAACTGTCCTGCCAATCTGGTTCCTCAACCCCCCCCCCCCCACCTCCTGCCTAGTAACCAGGTACACATTAAACTACACCTAGGTCAGCATGGGCTGTGAGCCTGGCCCCTCCTATTTGTTACCCCAAACCTCTCATCAAAGAGGCTGTGATTAGGAATCCCTTCTTATAGAGAAGAGGCCTTGTCTGGGGAGAAGTTCCTGGTCCCCTCTGCCCAGCTCTCGGGTGCAGGTCATCTGAGGAACGGGACCCTTTGGCTTGGGTTTCTAATAATTTGCTAGTTACTGCTGAGTATGGTAGTATGTACTTGTAATCCCAGCATTTGAGGGGCTGAGGCAGGAGAATCACCTAAGTTCAAGTGTTTGAAACCAGGTCACATAGGGAGACCTCCCATCTCTTTAAAAAAGTTTTATTTTATTTTTGTTGTTGTTGTTGTTGTTGAGACAGGGTCTTACTGTGTAGCCCTGACTGCCCTGGAACACTGTATAGACCAAACTGGTCTGGAACACACAGTAATCTGATTGTCTCTGCTTCTGGGTGCTGGGGTTAAATTTAGACATTAATTCAACCAATTACTAAACTCTTGAAAAAAAGGTAAAAGCCAAGATTCCATCTTGATGCCTAAGTCTTTTTGCTTGTGTGGTTGAAATCAGCCTGGGGTTTCCCTTCCAGAAGTTGCTAAGAGTCATCAATGTGTTTGTTCTTTATTTCTGAGTATCCTGACTGGGTCTAAATGAACCACATAGTAGTTAGGTGGTGACCTTCTAGAACTGTTAATAACGGAATAAAATGTCTGCCTTCCAGCCTCAGCCGGTGACAAAAATGCTACTGCAGGTATGGTTGTTGTTATTATTATCATTATTTTATGTGTTTGGATGTTTGTCTGTGTGATAGTCTGTGTACCACACACATGCAATACTGTTGGAGACCAGAAGAGGGCGTCAGATCCCCTGGAACTGTAGTTACAGATGGGGTGGGCACTGTGAACATGCAACAGGGTCTTCTGATTATTTTTTTTACTCTCTCTCTCTCTCTCTCTCTCTGTGTGTGTGTGTGTGTGTGTGTGTGTGTGTGTGTTTTCATTTAGTTGGTTGGTTGGTTGGTTGGTTTTAGGATTTTTGAGACAGGGTTTCTTTGTGTAGCCCTGATTGTCCTGGAACTCACTCGGTAAGCCAGGCTGGCCTCGAACTCACAGAGATCCGCCTGCTTCTGCCTCCCAAGTGCTGGGATTAAAGGTTTGTGCCACCACCGCCTGATTGTCTTTTCTTTCTCTCTCTTCTTCTTAAGATTTATTTATTTATGTACTTTGTGTGTATGGGTGTCTCATCTGCATACCAGAAGAGAACATCAGAGCCCATGGGACTACAGTTACAGATGGTTGTGAGTCACCATGTGGACTCACATTGAACTCAGGTCTTCTGAAACAGCAGCCATCTCTCCAGCCCCATTCTTTTCTTAAGCTTTTCTCCCTAAAGATTTTTTCTCTCTTGTCCTTTGAAGATTATTAGGCTCATTTTCTAGTTTCTTTCCAGTTCTCTACCAAAGAGTAGCTCCAGGGTTCTTCATTCCCCCAAGTTCATTTTCCTCCTTTTCAAAATGATCTTCTATCCTAAAAGCCACAGGGAAAGATGTGACCACCTTTGACTGGTCCTCAAACCACCCTCTCCCTAAACTACCTTTCAGCTTTATTTGGTAATTAATGAATTAGGAAATAAATCAGCTTGACTGCAGATTCCATGTTACTGTGGGCAGGACGCCTAACTCTGGTTCCTGTAACATACAGGTAGTTTTGACCCACAGCTACAGCCAAGAACAAGAGAACAGAGTAAGGGCCCTGTACCTGAGATTCTTCAGAAAGAGACCCCCAGATTTCAGGGTCATATTTCACAGCACTCCCTGAATAGTCCTAGAAAGACTTTTTGTTCTTCCCCAAGATGAGTCTTAAGAGATTATTTTACCTACTTTTGCTTCCAGGTTGGGAAACACCTAAATTTCATTTGAATCAATTTCCTCTTGCTCTGTTTTTGGTGAGCAAGAAGGACATGCCCCAAAATGCAGTGGCTTTTGTAAAAACTGCTCCATCTCTCCCCATTCTGTCTCCCTTCTCCCAGCCCTTTGGCCCTTTATTTATACTTCTTAGATTTGCAATTTCCATATTTTTTTGTGTGTTGGACAGAGTGCCGGGATGAGAAATTTGCTTGCACAAGACTATACTCTGTCCATCGGCCAGTCAAACAGTGTGTTCATCAGGTCTGCTTCACCAGGTAAGAGATCCCAGAATGTCCAGAGAGCCCCTTCCATGATGGTAGTGTTTGGGTCAGTAACTAGTTCATGAACACTCACCATGGAACCACAGACCCCTCTGCCCACCCCTTTGCTGGGACAGAGGTTATAACCTGAACAGACATAACCTAGTCAGTCATTTCTGAAGGCGCTGCCTAGAAGTTGGCGTCTGGATTGAAGTGTCCACATAACAGTCTGATAGATTCCCGTGGCGGTGAGGGCCATCTAGGAAGGAAGATGGTGAGAGATGCGGGTTGAATTAGCTGAAGCGAAAGACCCAGCTCTGAGGTGGAAAGTGACAGACAGGAGCATTAGGACCTGACACCAAGTGAGATATGCAAAAATGCCCCAAGAAGAGTAATTAATATCGCACCAAATTAATATCACACCTCTTGTTTTGTTTTTATCACTAAAACCATTTCCATCCCCTGAGGGAAAGATTTTTCAAAATTACTTGCTTAAGAAAATCTAGACAAAGGGAGGCCCGTGGAGAATAGGGAGTTGAAGAGGGACCCTGGCTGGACCCTCTCACCGTCTCCTTCTCTTTCCTCGCCCATGACTTTGGCACGGCGGCAGCTTGCGGCGTATGTACATCATCAACAACGAGATCTGCTCCCGACTTGTCTGTAAGGAGCACGAGGCTATGAAAGGTGAGCTGGTATCTGCGTGGGGGAGTGGACGAGGTGAGCTGATATCTGCGTGAGGAGTGGACGGAGTGAGCTGTTTGTCTGCGTGGGGAGTGGCCGGGGCAGTTATGAGCGGTAAACAGAGCAGAGTATGATGCTGTGGGACCCGACATCTGGTTCCTAAGTAGGCTGCTGGGCAGTTCTTTTGCTTCCCATCAGCCCCTATTGGAAGCTACACTGAATAAACTGACTATATCCCATGCAAGTATTCCTTGGTCCCTTCCAAGCTAGACCTCAAGCTCAGCTTTCTTATGGGGAGAATTTTTTGAAGCTCAAACTGTTTCTAAACTTTGTTTTTTAGACAAAAGAAAAAAACTTGAGTGTATGAGTGTTTTGCTCAAATGTATGTATGTAAACACATGCACACAGCCCATGGGAGACAGAAGAAGGCATTGGGAACCCCGGAACTGAAGTTACAGATGGTTGGAAGCCATCCTGTGGATGCTGGGAACCGAACCTGGGTTCTCCACAAGAGTAGCCAGTGCTCTAACTGCGGAGCCATCTCCCTAGCCCTTCTTGGGCTGTTTAATGCCATATTTTAGAAGTCCTGGGGAATAGCCAAGTCCTCACTACAAATAATAGAACCAATGGCCATGTTGGTCATCAGCCCTATTCACAGCTCTAAAAAGAACACAGACATGTTTGGAGACAAGATGGTTTAGGTAGGACCCATAACATAAAAAAATAGGTAGGACATTTTGAGAGTGGCTACATTATAAACATTCCCCCAATTCGAGAAACCATTCCCATTGCTTAGTATGACATTCCCAAGGTAGAGGAAAGTGGGAAGATGTTTAAAGAATAATTTTCGAGGCACCAAACCGTGTGGCTGTAGATCATGCATGGTGGGAACAAACATTCTTCTCACCTTCGCCATGGACAGCCCCGAACGGCGGCTGTGGTTGGTGTCAACACCACAGACCCGGTCCCTTTTGACTCATCAGCCAGCTTTGTGCTGGGTTCATGAGTAAGAGCTGTAGTTGACTTCGCAGAAGGAAACTTGCTGCTCGCCCCCTTTGGCTCCGTGCAAGCCACCTGCGAGGGAAACACCTTGACACTGACTATGAGTGTTTGGCGCTCTAGGCACTGTTCAAGTTCCTCTGGGGATTTTACCGGAGCTAGCCGCTGTAAACACCTAAATGCGGGCAGAAGGACGGGACTCCATTTCTCTAGTTAGGAGGTTCATGGCCGGCAGCTGGGAGTACAAAGGAAACTAATTTTGCCCACATTGTTTCATTCCAGTCCTCGCAAACACACCGTTGCGTCAGGTATTAGTGCTGACTTTCAGAAAAGGCACAAAGAGGTCCATAGAAGGTTAGCAACTTTCTAGTAAGTTCCAAGGATCCAGATGTGGAAAAGCTGAGTAGCTTAACCCGAGTCTTTTCTTCCGGTGTGGTTTTTTGGTTTTGGGGTTTTTGTTTGTTTGTTTTGTTTTTGTTTTTTGAGTCAGGGTTTCTCTGTGTAACGGTCCTGCCTGTCTGTCTGTCGTGGAACTCGCTTTGTTAGACCAGGCTGGCTTCAAACTCACAGAGATCGGCCTGCCTCTCCCTCCCGAGTGCTGGGATTAAAGGCGCGCACCACCATGGCCCAGTTCTTCCAACGTGTTTTTATGCTATCACACAAGCATTTTTTTCCTTTCCCTAAAAACAAGAGCCCTTTATACGGTCGGGCATCCTCCCATAATGCTCTGCTTTTCCTCTAGATGAGCTTTGCCGGCAAATGGCTGGCCTGCCTCCAAGACGACTCCGTCGCTCCAACTACTTCCGACTTCCTCCCTGTGAAAATATGAATTTGCAGAGACCCAGTGGTCTGTGATCATCAAGGAAGAAAGAAGAACGTGTCGGGGAGAGGAATCAGGCATTCCTTCTCCTCCAGCCACCGTCGTCTGTCCCAGAAACATGTATTTTTTAAAGTAAGCCCTTTGCAATGTCCAGGCTTTGACGCTATGCTCTAATTTGCACCGGAACTGGTAACTCTTGTCTCATTTTGCAAAACTGACAATACACGGTCTATGTTGTTTCATGGTTTCGCTGATTTCCAGTATCATAGGCAAGGTGCACAGACAATGACCACACGACTTAGCACACTCAGCACTTACAGAAGGGGCCAGGGAGGGCGTGGCTCAGTTGGCAGAGACTTTACCTAGTGTGTGAGAATCCCTAGGTCTGATGGCATAAAACTGAGCATGGCGGTGCAGGAAGATCAGAACCTTAAGGTCCTCTTCGGCTACACGTTAAGTCTGAGGGCAGCATGGACTATGTGAGACCCTAATCTCAGAAGATAACTTTAGGTTAACGCTCTTGTTTTTTCAATGGTGCTAAGACATGGGGCCTTGCACATGCTAGCCCAGCGCTCTACCACTAAGCTGCACTCTTCTGCCCTCGGCTAGTCAGTGTAATTATTAAATATGTCAGTATTAAACAGGAGCGTGGGAAAGGCTCTGCTCCTCCATTTTGGCTAGCCACGCAACTTCCTTCAGGTCCCTTCTAGATGTTTCCTAGATTAATGCCTCAACATTTACATACGGTTCTCTACTCACTTGAGCATTTTGCATGATTGTCCTAAAATTTACCCAGCAAGTCTTCTTGACCAGAAAGGTCACGGGTGGGTCAGGGGTGCCCAATAGCTAAGAACACTGGGTGTTCTTCAATAAGACCTGGGTTCAGTTCCCAGACAACACTCGCATGGTGGCTCACAACCATCTATAAATCCACTCCCAGGGAGTCTGAGATCTTCTGGCTTCTGTGGGCCCTGCAGCCAAGTGGTACACACGTATGCATGTGGAAAGCACACGGAAAATAAACCATCATTTAAAAAGGAAAAAGAAAGGTCATGGGCATTTTTTTTCCAACAGAATGTTTTTATTGGTTATCCATTATTTGGGAATTCCACATCATGACCCTGATCATGCTCTCTTCCCCTCTTCCCAGTCCTCCCAAATCCGATCCCCCACCCTTGTAAAATGCTCTCCTTCAAAAAAAAAAAAAAAAAGCTGCCCAATTTGTGTTGTCCATATGCTCATTGGGCGTTTTCTAGTCCTAGGAGACTTCCCAACAGAACTGAGAATTATCCAGTCTTACCTAACAATCAGATCCCAAATGCTGCCATGTGCTGAGCTCAGAGTCTGGAGTGGAAAGGAGAAAGCTATCAGGTGTGGCTCTTGTCCCGTAATCTCCCGTGCAATGTCTTGGGCAGGCTGTCCAAGCGGGATGTAGAGCGGGAAAGTAAACCTCATCTTCTCACTCATCTCCGACAGCACAGGGCCCAGCGTCTCCACGAGGCTGACTACACAGCCTACTGTGACACCGTGGCCACAATTACACTGGAACAAAATGCACTCTCCCCACCACCACCTTTATTTTCTGCTGGCACGAAGACCAAGCCCACAGCTTCCCGCTTGCTAGACACAACCTCCACGGCTGGGCCATATCCCCCCATTCCATCTTAAATAAGTGACTAGTTACATCCCATGAATGCTGTTGACTGAAAAACCCAGAAACTTCCTGTAAAACCCAGCAGAATTCCGATGAGAGCCGCGCAATGACTATTACACGTGACGACGGGAATTGGATTCCTTGCGTAGCACAGAAAAGTAGCTAAATGGGGGCCAGATTCTTGTGACTGGGAAGCAATTGAGTTTAGTGAGATCTGTAAAACTGATTAAAGAGGTGGGGGGAAAACCATTTGTGTGCTTCCCCTGTCTAGAGTTAAACACACTGGTGTATAGATAAATAGACTAAAAGCAAATTGCAGCCACAATGGGGAAAACTCACAGGCTCAGGGCTTCTAATGGGCATCTTAGGTATCTCTTCCTGGGATTGCAGAGATGGCTCAGTGGTTAAGAGCACTGGCTGCTCTTCCTTAAGGCTCCAGGTTCCATTCCCAATGTCCACCGTGGTGACTCACAATGATCTGTATTAAACTCTAGTTCCAGGTGATCTAGCGCCCTCTTCTGGCCTCTGCAGGTACCAGACACTCACATGATGTACAGGTAAACATTTATATACATAAAATAATAAAATAAAATAAAGGAGGGTTAAGGACACTTTCTCCTCTCTGAGTTCAGTTCCCAGTCCCTGACACCCTCTTGTGGCCTCTGCAGGCAACTGGACACACTTGGGCATATTCTTACACAAGCATACACACAAAAATAAAATAATTCTTAAGCATAAGAATCCTTTCATAAGGCTTTTAAATACAAAGTAATGATACAGACATTATTCTGGTTTTGTTTGTTTGTTTTAGGGTGGGGTTTTTGTTTTGTTTTTCCACTATGGGATTTCTCTGTATAGCCTTGGCTGTCTTAGAACTCACTCTGTAGATCAGGCTGGCCTCAAGCTCACAGAGATCCACCTGCCTCTGCCTCCCAAGTGCTGGGGTTAAAGGTGTGAGCCACCATAACTGGCTAATTATCATTATCCCTATTTGATCAATGCACATCGTGTGCATGTACTGAATTATATGTGGGCCAGTGAGATGGCTCAGCCAGTAAAGGAGCTTGCTGCCTAGCCTTTAGACCTGAGTTCAATCCCCAGAGCCCACATGCTGGGGAGAGAGAACTGACTCCCTCGAGTTATACCCTGACCGCCACGGGGGTGCATGTGTGCACATGCATACACACAGTAAATAAATAAATAAATAAATAAATAAAGTTCTAAAAAGGAAATATCACGTGTTCTTCATAAATGTATGTAACACGAATTCTAGCTGGTCTTAATAATAAAAACCCAGAGTCAGATATACAAATGTATACAATTACTATATGCATGGTGGAAATTTTTAAAAGCATGTTTAAAGAAAGGGCTGTGCCAGCTGTTTCGGCCAACTGCACACTGCACTTCTGAATCAATGCTTAATTGTAGTTTAGAAGACACTCAAAAATTCATTTTGTTCCTGGGATCTTGGAAACATTTTTAGAGGTGGGGCAGGGAGTCTCTTCCAGAGCTCGGCTCTCCCATGCCTATCGGCTCCTCCACCCCAGTATTGTGTCTATAGCAAATCAAGTATTTTAAAAAATATATATCAAATTTCCAAGAATAAGGTGGGTTTGGTTTTGATCTGGTCATTGCTTTGTTTGCTTTTCCTTTTTTATTTATTTTTGTTTATTTGATACAAGATCTCACTGTATAGTCTTGGCTGGACTCACTGTATAAGACTGGACTGCCCTTGAACACTTGGAGTTTGCTTTTGTTTTGTTTTGTTTTGTTTTTTGAGACAAAGTCTCATGGATGCTTCCATCTCCTGGGTTCTGGAATTAATTCGTGTGCCACCATGCCCAGGTTTCTGCTCCTTCGGGATCAAATTCAGGATTTCCTTCTTGGTAGACAAGCCCTCCAGCAGCTGAGCTGCACCCCAGCCCCTGGTAGTTGGTTTTTGTCTTTTCTTTTGTGTTTGCAAAACAAAAACCAAACAAAAAACCAACAAAGGATGTTCTTTTGTCACACTTTGAAAACACAGACTCTAGCTGGGCAGTGGTGGGCTTTAATCCTAGCACTCTGTAGGCAGAGGCGGGCGGATCTCTGTGGGTTCAAGGGCTGCCTGGTCTAAGAGTGAGCTCCAGGACAGGACAGCCAAGGGCTACACACACACACACACACACACACACACACACACACACACACAAAACCCAAAAGGAAGAAGGAGAAGGAAGAGGAGGAGGAGAAGACACAGACTCAGTATTGATCACATGTCTCCATTCTGTTCCTGTCCCTCCTACCCTTTACTCTTTACCGTTGCTCCTTCAGCACTCCAACCTTGCTAACTTGCCTCCGGATACGGCCCCTTTTCTCCTTTGCTGTCTTTGGATCCCGCAGCCTGTAAGCTCCACACTTCCTCTCACCTTCCTTTGGCATGATCAAACGCCCGTGTTTTGTCATTTCTTAGAGTTCTTACGTTCTCCACACGTTTTGTGAGTGTGTGTGCACTGAGTGTGCGGTGCACATGTGTGGTCTGTGCACACGTGTGTGTGAAGGCGTGCACCAGTGGACTCACACAAAGGCCAGCAGAGGACATGAGACATCCTTCTCTCCTGCATTCACCTTATTTCTCGCACCTGGATCCCGGCTACGGCATCCTGACTCTGAACCCTAACAGCACTGGGGTTGCAAGTGTATCCATCATTGTGGATACTGGGGGTGACAACACCCGCCATTGTTTGTAGGTACTGAGGATTGGAACTCTGACCACCGAGCCAACTCTCCGGTTATCTCTGCACATTTTGGTGGTGATGAGAACGGAACCCATGGCCTAGTGCATGTTAGGCAAGCGCTCTACCTCTGAGTTACATCTCCAGCCCTGAATTCTTACTTTCATCTGGGACGTTAATGTTGGAATTCAAGGGATTGCTAAAAATGTCCTTTAGAGGCTGGACGCTTCCAGGTGTCTTGAATAGAAACAGCCTTGTCCGGTTCCCACACGGTTCACCCTTACTTTCTCATCCCAAACTGAGTTGATCCTACTCAGCGCCTAACTTTCTCAATGTCGCGCCTAGAACATTCTCTTTTCTTCTTGAATGAACGCAACCTTGAAACTCAAGTGTGGAATCTATTTACTGAGCTCCGGGCCCACTTTCCCTTGGTGTTGACTCAGAGGAAGCTGGTTCAAAGCCAGCTGGTTTCCCTGCCAGGCTACTTAACTTGCGATGACATCAAGCTGCACTGTACTGTGCTGTTGTTAACCACAAGTTCCTCCCCGATGCACTTCTGAGCGATCTTAGCCACAGCCAGTGCCGGCCAAAGGCTGCGCGCCTGCGCAGGAGGCACAATCAGCTTGCTCCTCCTGTTCTGAAGTGGCGGTGACACAGTGAAAGAAGAGCGGAGCCCAGAGGACACTGTGGAAGATGGGAGAGCATCGGAAAAGGGAATCACTGGACAGGAGAGTAATGACAGGCTGACACCAGGACAATGGCACGGATGGAGAGCGCCAATTCCAGATTCAAGGAGAAAGCACACCGAGCTTCCCTGAGAGACTTGGCAACTTAGGGAGAAGGATCAGCAGCA